AACTCATAAAAAACATATCCAAAACTCATAGTATGAATAAGTTCGAAACTCTTAGCATGTACTTTCTCTTATTTTAATTATTATAGAGGCCTTAAAAACATATATGATCTATTTCGAGACACTATACAACACATAAGTCAATTATTATATAACCAAGAACACGTTTTAAACTAATAAGAACAAGTGCAAAACTCATAGGTACTTGAGGACAAGTTCGTAAGTCAATGGAGTATATCTATTTTTCTTTTTATCTTGAAATATATCTTCGAATATCAGTCTTTTTGAAGAAGGGTATTAAAAAATGTTAGGATGTTGTTTTAGACTTGTTATTTTGTGGATATTGTGCTCATAAAATATTCATATTATTTATGTTAGAGTTTTTATCAAACCAACATATAATGAAGATGTATGTTGAGGTGTTCATGTCCATTACTAGAAGAAGTCCTTGGAAAAAGAAATGAATACCATATGATCTTTACTGCCACCACCCAGATGAATTTGATGTTAGAGATAAACAGTTTATCATACCATTTTGGGTAGGGATGAAAGTGGGTCCAAACCCGGACCCGATGGACCCGGACCCGGAAAACCCGGAACCGGTTAACGGGATTTTATAGAACCGGAAACCGGACCGGTATATAGGAACCGGTTCCGGTTCGGTTCCGGGTATGGTTCCGGGTAAAGTGGGTCTAGAACCGGAAAACCCGGAAACATCAAAGTGGGTAGGTTGGAACCGGATAAAGTGGGTTTAGACCCGAAAACCCGAAAAAACCGGAATTTTTGGTAATTACTTACAACTTAGTGGGTTGAACTTTGAAAATTTTCATATTGATATCTCCACTTTGGGGGGCTGTAACTTATTGAATACGAAACCACAATTAACAAAATTAGAGTCCAAAATCATGTACAAAGTCTAAAATACACTCTGGAAAAACCCGCATGTCAATCCGAATTTAAACGAATGAGATATACCTGTGTTAATATTTTCACATAATACAAAGTACAAAAACATTTTCAGTTTTGATATCCCGACTTCGGAGGACTGTAAATCATTGAATGTTAAACCAAAAATGACAAAATTATAGTCTAAACTCATGCACAAACTGTAAACTAGAAGTTGAAAAAAAACCACATGTCAATCCGACTTCAAACGAATTAGATATGCATGCTTTAAAACTTTCACCGAATACAAAAAAACTAAAAAACTAAAAACTTTCAGCTTTGGTATCTCAACTTTTGAGGACTGTAAGTCAATGAATATAAAACTAAAAATGAAAAATTTATAGTCTAGAATCATGTACAAACTCTAAACTACATGTTGGAAAAAACCATATGTCAATTGGAGTTGAAACGAATAAGATATACATCTTGTAAACGTTTCACAAAAAGTGGTTCCGGCCCTAAAAGTGGTTCCGGTTCCAAAAACCGGTTCCGGATTTTAGACCCGTTTTACCCGGACCCAATGGACCCAAACCCGGATTACCCGGAACCCGGATAAAGCCAATTTTTAAACCCGGAACCGGACCCGGTTCTATATATTCCGGTTCTAACGGGTCCGGTTCCGGTTCGGTTCCGGTTCCGGTCCGGTTTTCCGGTTCTAAATCTCATCCCTAATTTTGGGAACATAATAAAAGGCTATTAATGAGTTGAATTGATATGTATTTGCCTAAAAATATCCCTACATTGACGAATTGTTGAACAACATGTGCAGGTAATCAAATATGATTGTAGGGACAAAACCTACAAACAAAAAGAGCATTGTAAGATGGAATAAGGTTTGAGCGTCCCTCAAGGCGTCTAAGATGTCCTTATAGACATCGTGGTCAGATTGGCATCTAAGACGATCCGAGGACACCAAGCCATTTTGGTTGAGACTTGTTATTTATGTTGATGTTGTGTTCATAAAATATTTAAGTTATTTGTGTTCGAGTTTTCATCAAACCAAGAGGAATGGAGATGCCCTTTGAGGTGTTCATGATATATGATCTTTACTACCACTAGTCATATAGATTTGAAGTTACAGATGAGTACTCAATATATCATCATTTAACCAACTTAGTGTATGCAGGCCACTACAACAATGGATGGTATATCAGTTGAACGATGCTTGATGCTTATTAACTGAAAATGGAGCCATTTTACGTTGATATTTGAAGATGTGTCTAGCTGAAGCTTACTTTCTAAAAAATATCTAGAAATGTTTATCTATGTGTTGGTTTGATAACAACTAATGTGAAAACTTTCACATGAGTTGTCATAGACCAAAACGGTTAATATCCATTCCTCATAGTTTTTGTACAAAGTGGTAGATGTTTAAGATATATCTTTTTTGTTTTTAACTTAATTTTGTTAGTAAATAAAATTTTGGGTCCATGAATTGCAGTAAGTTATGTTGATTATATGTAACTTAATTTTGTTGGTGTTATTTGGTAATATTTTATGTAATTTAGACACCATACTTATAACAAAGTCCTTAAGTTATTTGAAATGAATGCATATATGGTAGGTCACAATATGTGTAGTATACTTCTAGAGAGGATGAATATAAGTATAAGTTATATATATATATATATATATATATATATATATATATATATATATATATATATATATATATATATATTATTTTTGAAAAGTCAAAACAAATTCAATAAACACAAAACAATTGTAATGCTTATTTTTCAGTAAAGATTTATTATAAGTCAGGTGTGTCATATTATTGTTGTGATGTTTCCGCGAAGAATGAGCCTTGGAAATACCTATGTGCCAGTGGTTAAAGACTTAAAGCTATAGGTTGAAAGTATGTTGTCCTTTATCAATAGAGACAAATGAAGAGTGACAAACAAAGAAAGAAAACAAGTTAGTAAAGGACACAACATGTGTTGGGAATTATTAGCATCAAGTACACTATCTAAGGTAGCAGAAACAATTAAGAGATTTATCTAAGTGTACATGCATCCTAGAATCTAGGTTTTACTAGTTATAGCAACATAATTTAAAAATCAACAAAAATAAAGAACTAGTAACCTCTTTATTGTTTGACTGTGATCTTGTGACTTCCAGTTCATTGCTATGGATGAAGGATCCAATGTAGCACCCCAATAAGGGAATTAGACTCACAACACCAAAAGCAAAATGATGAAACCCAAACTAAGGTTTATATGAAATTCTCCAATCCTTAGGAAATAGGTTGACAAATCGTTCACAAAGAGATATATAGATAGATAGAGAGAGAGTGTGTGTGTGTGAGAGAGAGAGAAAGAGAGAGAGATAGAGACATAAAGAGAGAGAGAGAGAGCGTATGGAATTTTTTTCGGATGGATTAATGTAACAGCCCAAAAATTTCAACAAATTTAAACATTTCAAAAGCGACCCATTTATTAATAAAAGTGTTTACAAACTATTATTTCTAAAACATTATTTAAAATCAAAGTCTCCCAAGATCCAATCAGTTGTAAAACCAAGGATGTGTACGGTCACGTCTTCGTCCTGTCACTGTCCACTGAGTTACCTAGAAACATAACCCAAACTATAAGCACGAAGCTTAGTGAATTCCCCCAAAGTTCCAGCACATAAACATAATAACAAATAAACAACATGCATACAGAGCCTTCAGCCTGTCTGGAACGCCCCACCAACCTACAGTCTATCTGGTACGCTCGCAGAGCCTTCAGCCTGATTGGAACACCCCACCGGCCTACCGTCTATCTGCTACGCTCACAGAACCTTCATCATGACTAGTACACCTCATTGGGCCTTCAGCCTATCTGGAACATTCTGCGGGCCTTCAGCCTGACTGGTACGACCCTCAGGCATGCAGTCTATCTCGGACTCCCTAGGTCTTATGGCCTTTAGCACATAGTAGGAACACCTCAACCCAACCACACACAATATGTCAACATATATATACCCAAAACACATATAACATAACAACATATCGATATAAACATTACCAGGTTTGTTGAGTGACAACACAAAGCAGTATAGTCTCAACCCACCCACACCACGGAGAAATATACACAGCTAAACATATAACCTGTCAACAGACAATTAGGCAGATCTTACAGATCGCTAAGCATAACATCATCCTATATACCAGGATACAGATCTAACAGATCACTACATCATACCAACATGCGATAAACCAGGATAACAATCCAATGTGCCGACCTTGGTGCCTTTGACCCGAAAGTACAGTGAGAAAAACTCACCTCACAAACCGAACAAAAGGTGATGAGGTCCCAACTCCGAATCCCAACTTTAAAACCAACACCTACTCCAGTCAAAAGACCAAACACAATTAAACTCCCCCAAATACCCTCAAGGTCCAACTTGGTCAAAGTTAATTGGTCAAGGTCCAAAAGTTAATATCTCTTCCCAACGGAGTATGCCTTGCGTACCAAGAGAGTACACCCAGTGTACTCTGATGTTGACCAAAAACATGGCGCTGACCACGTGCACTCAACATACCACCAGGTAGGTCCAACGTATGCAACCCAGGCCCAAAACTCTATCACGAGCTTATTCCATTAAGCATTGTATAAGATAGTTATCAGTATTTAATCCAAACTTATATCTTGTCTATTTTATCATATCAATCAATTGCATACACGATCAGTTTGACTTTAAATCCTAAATTCTATGAATATTTGATTATCTTTTTGAAAACTTATTTCGTATCTTAAACGTTATAAATAATTTGACGATATTTAGTTACCTTTCTTAATAACTTTTTTTATATTTTAAAAGTTATAAATATCTGTTGACATTGTCGCAACAACAGCCATCGTAACTATTGGGATTGGAAAAGAAGAAATGGTCAATCTGAAACAATGGTGTTTTGGGATAATCGACACCCAGTCAATGACTCTTTAGTCAAAAGTTCCGACCACCGTCAACATTCAAGAAACTTCAATCGGTTGATCCTTCAATTCACCTTCCCCTTTTGGGGATTTTCTTTGCTCAATTTTGAAAAATTACCCATCTCATAGAATCAAGCAATGACGCCGGAGACGGTGACGCTGATACTGGTCAACCTCGCCGGAATAATGGAAAGAGCTGACGAGTCATTGTTACCGGGAGTTTACAAGGAGGTTGGAGAAGAGCTCCACGCTGACCCTACTCGGTTGGGATCGTTGACCCTTTTCCGATCAATCGTTCAGGCGTCCTGCTTCCCTCTCGCGGCGTACTTGGCGATGCGCCATAACCGTGCTCACATCATAGCTTACGGTGCTTTCCTTTGGGCCGCCGCTACTTTCCTCGTTGCATTATCTTCCTCATTTTTTCAGGTAAATTACTCAATTTTTTCGCTTTTAGATTGTTCAATTCCTTAATTTTATCATCTATTAATGATTAAGGGGTGTTTGAATTTGGGTATGAAAGTGAACAGGCTTTATCAGATAATCAGAATCAAATGATGCATTTGTCTCGAATTTGTCATCGAGACAAAAAAAATTGAATTTGGGGAAAAATTTCGTTTGACTATAAAAGACATGTCTATATTTGTACGTAGAATATGCTACTTTCATAGTGGTTTAGAAGTATATTCGACTTCTAAATGGTCTAAAAGTAGTAAATGCAAGCATTTTTATAGGTGTAAAAGTTTTGAATTTAAGGGTCTTTGGGATTTCCTCCCAAGTATTTACATGTGTGAAATGACTTCTAGTAATGCACGTTTTTGTGCTCATGGTAACAAGCATTCTTGTGTATTTATGGTGCATGTTTGATGTTTGACTTCCGAAAACATATTATTACTTCTTTTAAAGGAACCAATTTGGGATTTTTTTTTTCCTTTTAAGTTAAATCATGCTTATAAACATAAAGGTGCATGTTCCTAAACCAATAGGACTTAAACCGAGTACTTATTCTATTAAGTCGTTCTTTCTGTATTAAGCAACTGTCTGTCTGGATAAAGTGTTGTATACATAAGGTCTGCTTTTTTTTCTTTTCTTTTCAGGTTGCAATATCTAGAGCTTTGAACGGAATCGGCCTTGCAATAGTAGGACCCGCAATCCAATCATTAGTAGCCGATTCCACCAATGATGAAAACCGTGGAATGGCTTTCGGGTGGCTACAACTAACAAGCAACCTCGGTTCAATCATCGGTGGACTCCTTTCCTTACTTTTAGCCTCCACCACATTCCTCGGAATCTCCGGATGGCGAATCGCCTTTCATCTCGTCGGAATCATCAGTGTCATCGTCGGAATCATGGTCCGCCTTTTCGCCGACGACCCACGTTTCAAAGATTCCAAAACCCCTCAAAATGTCGGAAAAAATCAAACTTTATTATCCCAAGTCAAAGAGTTAGCCCGGGAGGCTAAATCCGTCATTAATATTCGGTCTTTTCAGATTATTGTGGCTCAAGGTGTTACGGGTTCGTTTCCGTGGTCGGCATTGTCGTTTGCACCCATGTGGTTGGAACTTGTTGGTTTCTCTCATAAGGATACGGCTTTCTTGATGACTTTATTTGTGATTGGGAATTCGTTTGGGGGGTTGTTTGGAGGCCGGGTTGGTGATATTTTATCGAAGCGGAATCCGAATTCCGGGAGGATTGTTTTGGCCCAAATAAGTTCGGCATCGGCGATTCCATTAGGGGCGTTGCTTTTGTTGGCATTGAAGGACGATCCTTCGGCTTTGTTTTCGCATGCTATCGTGTTGTTTGTCACGGGTTTTTTTATTTCTTGGAACGGCCCGGCTACAAACAAGTAAAGTTCTTACTTATTCTCTTTTCTTTTTTTTTTTTTTTTTTTTTTTTTTTGTGATTAGATCTTTGTTCATGAGCAATTTCATTCCTTTCCTGATTCCATCATACCAAACACGTCTACAGTCCTATTTTTGCAGAGATTGTTCCGGAGAAATCACGAACAAGCATCTACGCATTAGACCGATCATTCGAGTCAATCCTATCGTCATTTGCTCCTCCAATAGTCGGAATCCTGGCCCAACATGTTTACGGTTACAAACCGATTGAAAAAGGATCCGAAACCATCGAAACCGATCGCGTTAACGCCACCTCATTGGCTAAAGCCCTCTACATTTCAATCGCGATTCCGATGACATTGTGTTGTTTCATCTATTCCTTTCTGTATCGAACGTACCCAAGAGACCGAGAACGTGCCCAGATGGAAGCTCTTATAGAAGCCGAAATGGAAACTCTGGAATCGGAATCAGAAGAACAGAAACCGAGGTACCGATTCAATGATGATGATGATCATGATGATAGAACGAGTATCGATATGGAGTATGGTGGTGGAGATGATTCGGTTGTGTTAGATGAAAGCGATGAAAAATTGTTGCTTTATAGACAATTGACATTTGCAAATATGATTCATAGTTGATATTTGATATAGCTTCTATACACTTATACAAAGAGAAGTTTAATTTCCTTAAAGTTTATAATATACAATTGAAAGTTCTTTCGCATATGTTATCTTAAGATATTCTCGGGCAATTCGGGCATGTTCATGCGGGTTTTCGGGCAGAGATCATAACAAATTGTCTGTTTCTAACACATGTAATATCTACGAGTCCACAACTTCTGCACAAGTCTTTAAGTTCACTTTCAGATAGAAAGATACGGCTTCCTGATACTTGTCCGATAGTCTAAAATAACAAAATCAAAACAATCCATTAGTTTTAATAAAAAAAAATTATTTGTATTTTTCATAAATTGAATTTTGTTAATTATCCATAAAGCCGAATACATACCTCGCGTATAGGTGATACAAAGGGCATCAATGGATAAGGGACGTCTAGTATATAAGTGGTGGCAACAAACACTCCTCCAGGCCGTAAAATTCGACTTATTTCAGCTACCTGTTCCACACAGTCTGAATCAGAGACTTCTAATTGTGGTATCAAACAGTCTGAATCTGATACAGTCAGACCAGTAACAGGCATAGCCCGTAAAAAAGAATGCTAACCCCAGAAGATGGTGAGGGCCAACAATGAAGAGCTGCACCAGCATGCACAGCATCTATAGAACTTGAGGCAAATGGGAGTCGTGCAATATCAGCTCTAACCAAAATTAAGTTCCTTAAAATCACATTATTTTTTAATCAGAAACGATATAAAACGTGTAGTATGTAGAAGTGATATATGAAAAACTAGATTTGTAATTGTACTCGTTTGATATGTTTTCCTCTTGCTTAATGAAGTCATAACACTGTTTTAACATGGACTCTGAATAATCTAGAGCAACAACAAGAGAAAACAGCCCGCTTTTTTGAAAAAGCCTTGAGAACATTCCACTACCACAACTAGCATCAATAATACTTCCTCCAATTACTGGATTAAGATAATCTTTCATCATTTCAAACTGTAGAAAATAAAGAACAAAAAATTAAATCAAGTTTTCTTTTAGAATACATGTTCAATAGAACATATTACACAGATATATCATATCACCTCCTGCTGTGGGCCCGGGAAACCACCTGATATTGAAAAAGCCTGTCTCCAGCCTCTTTCATACAAGAATGATACTAAAGGCAACCTGTGATCAAGAAATGAGTTATTTTTTTTTGTTATATATATATATATATATATATATATATATATATATATATATATATATATATATATATATATATATATATATATATATATATATATATATATATATATATATATAATGAGTTTTAGTTTTTATATGTTTAGTATACCTGAAAAGCTCAGAAGAAGCAGGCTTGTATTCACCATATTTTTTGGTGCCACTGGCTACTGTTAGATCAAGATGTGTTTCATTACCACTATAGGACTTTTTACAGGTGCTACATTTTAGGATAGATCCAGGGGTTGAATCTCTGTGAGAAGAATTTGCAGAAAGAATATATTAAATTTTAAAGTAAGTGAAACAGATGGTTAAAGAAAAAGATAAAGATTTAAGATTGAAGAAAATTAACTCACACTGAGAAAACTGGATCACCATTCCATATTAATGTGTCATAACAAATGGGGCAAGCCAATACCTGCTTCTTTTGATTTGGATTTGCTTCTTGTTCATTTAAATCGGTTCCCTGCATAAAAAGTAAACGAATCATTGAAGGAAAAATGTTAATGATGTAAGGAAAAATAGCATTTCCTTCAAAGAAGTGAGCTTATGATTTGAATGTTACACAGATAGGAAGACTGTAATCTGGTATTAAGTGTAAGAGAATTGCAGGTTTAACTTTTATAGAGCCTTCTTGTTCTCTATTTCAACCATTAAGTTTGTAATGTTGGTTTAGATGCAGGTGATACTTATTTCAAATACCAAAAAGTTCCATTCGATTTTGTTACTTCTAAATCAAATGGATTAACATTAACCTTCTTAATCAACAAATGTGTTACAAGTAATTAGCAAATAACTTGTGATATTTGTTAAAATGATTATGCATAATAACCTAGCAATCGGGATAAATCTACGTCACTTTGAATCATTGTCCTACACCTATGCAAATGCAATAGACTGATCTTATTAAAAGAATCACAACGAAAACCAATTGAATGATTCTTTGAAAAAGTGCATAAATGATAAAACTCAAGCAACTGTCTCGATTCAGTTTAAGAACCTAAAATTGATAATTAAAAAAAAAAATTAAGCAGAAGTGAAAGGCTAACCATACAGAGGCCAACACTGCAATTCAGTCATTTAATCACATTCAATGTCTAATGAACCAAATTCATTTGTTATCCACTATCACTACATGAAAATTCACAGGTCGCAATTCTCGCTCAAAAATTCAGATGCATACACATACCAGGACGGTTTCGACGGTGGCGATTGCAGGTGACGCGCGGACTTTTGCAGCAAAGTTCCGATAAAGAGGTGAATTCACCATGAACGACGGAGGTTTATCGAGAAAACGAGTTGACATACCACTACTAAACCGAGTCGCTACCGTAGCTAACGAAAGGTTGCTTGGTACCATCGTCGCCATTTCGGTGGACCTCGATTGAGTGGTCTGTTCGCTCAGTTGCAGTCTTTTCGCAAAAAGAAAAAGAAAAAGAAAAAATAACCCAAAATTAAATAATTAAATAATTAAATAATTACAAATAAAATAACATGTTGTTACGTGTGCAAATAATTGCCGGCCAAAAATAGTTAGTTAAAGAAACAATTACATAAATGGGCCTTATGTTTATCAAAGGTTATCATTTCAGTCCCTATTAGTTTCTTTTGGATAAATATGGCCTATACTTTCATTTTTTTACGTTATTGGTCTTTAACCCTAAATAAATAGCTTAAATATATCTTTTAGATTTTTTTTTATCATTGTAAGTTGTTTAATTTGCAAATTATAAAATTTTTACCCATTAAATACCTTCACCCCACCATCCACTCCCCTATTACATCTCAAAATCGAAAAAAATCAAGACACTATGTTCCCTTCAACATCTCAAAACCACCACCATAGGGGAATTTCTTCTATGTCATCGTCATTGATGATGGGAGCTTCCACCATAGAAGTTGCTTTTGAGAACTGATAGTCATAAAAGTCGACCTGATCAATAAATATTCGTCAACATCACATTATAATATGAGGTTATTGTCAGTGTAACCCAACAATGTTTAGTATATTAGTTTAAATGGTCGCTCATGATTTTTTTTCCGTTGAAGGGTACAAACTTGTGCTTTTAGGTTTTAAAAAGTCATTATGGAAAATTTGAAGGAGCCATCCTAATCATCAGTTTGCATATGTCACGTAGTTGAAGACCCAGATGTTTGTTTCTCTGTCTTGTCCTCTCTTTATCATGTCTTGTCCTTTTAACACTGCCTCCTGAAACACTTTACAAATCAAGTCCAAAATGTTACCAATCAACCCTTGTCTCCATAAATCCTTACATAATAAGTCCCAAAATTACCCTTTTAACCCTCGATTAATCCAATTTATAACATTCGGCTCCCAAAACCAACACCCCACTAAATATTATTGATTTTAGGGCCATTATAAAATAATATAAATTATAAATTTACATATTGGGGTTTCAGGTTTATTATTTAATTACTCTATTTCAAACAAGATACTACAGTTTTCAATGTGGAGCATGCTACTATAAAAGTTGTCTCATACAAAGTGACAAAACATGAGAAAACGTGCATAAAAAATCAACACACGTTTATACCTTTTGCATTTTATTATTTAATTACTCTATTTCAAACACGATGTTACAGTTTTCACTGTGGAGCATGCTACTATAAAAGTTGTCTCATGCAAAGTGACAAACACGAGAAAATGTGCATGAAAAATCAACACACGTTTATACCTTTTGCATTTGATATTTTCAGTTTCGTTGCACCAGATGTTTTAGAGCTCCAAGATTTATAGATGTTTTTAAAAGAATTAGTTTTGTCATAAAAAAATGAGGTTGCAACGTAACTTGTTGCTCGTTTATCCGCTACATTTATGTAAAACTTTTATGATTTATGAATACTTAGTTAAAAGTGACGAAAAGATATTGCTTTATATATAATTGGCATTTGCAAATATGATTCATAGTTGATAACTTCTATACAGTTATGTAGAGAACTTTAGTCTCCTTCAAATTTACATTTAAATCAATTTCTTGCAAATTATTCATGATACAAATGTTACACGTTATCTTTAGATATTCTAGGGCAATTTGGGCATGTTTATGCAGGCTTTCGGGCAGAGATCATAACAAATTGTCTGTTTCTGACACATGTAATATCTACCAATCCATAGGTTTTACACAAGTCTTTAAGTTCACTTTCAGATAGAAATATACGGCTTCCTGTTACCTGCCCGAGAGTCTAAAATAACAAAATCAAAACAATCCATTAGCTTTAATAAACATTTAATTTTTTTTAAATAGTTTCAAATTTTGTTAATTATCCATAAAATTGAATACACTATACATACCTCGCGTATAATTGATAAAAAAGGTATAAATGAATAAGGGCCATCTACTATGTAAGTTGTGGCAACAAAAACTCCTCCAGGTCGTAAAATTCGATTTATTTCAGCTACCTGTTGCACACCGTATAATTAATAAAATGAAAATGAATATAACTATTATGAGGTTGTGTGATAGTTATTGATTGGGTCAGTCCAATGCCTCTTATCAGACCCCGTAAGAGACATATCAGAAACTATAGGACCGAATCAAAGGCTTCTAATTGTGGTATCAAACAGTCTGAATTTGATCGAGTCAGACCCAACCTCTTACCAGACCTAGTAATAGGCATATCAAACAACCCCTAAAAAAAATACTTACACCAGCAGATAGTGAGGGCCAACAATGAAGGGCGGCACCCGCATGCACTGCATCTATAGAACTTGAAGCGAATGGGAGTCGTGCAATATCAGCTCTAACCAAGATTAAGTTCCTTAAAATC